TTTCGAGATCAATAATGTATCAAAACAAAACTTCTGGGCAGAAATCTAGGTTTCTACTTTGTTTAACATACTTAGGCAGATTAAACAACATCCAACACTGTCTAAATAGCATGATTCTGTTAGATTTTTCTATTGAAAATTATCTAAGAATGTCTTTAGTCCATATTTTTTTTATTTAAAGAATTGAAATAACTTGTTCTGTTGTTATTTAAATGATTTTTTTTATCCTTCCATTTCCAGTGGAAAAAACAAGACAAAATATAACTGGTTAAAGTTATCATTTAAAATACCTAAATGACACCTAACTTTATAATTGATGCAGACTGTCCCTATTCTGTTAGTAGAGAAATATGTGGTGCACACAATACAAATTTGTGCTCACATAGAGCATTTTCTCTCACGTAAAAAAGCAGGAATCCTCTGCACGCTTTGAGGATTTGGACTGTGACCAATAGGTATTAGATGCTTGTAGTGTATTTTATTTCCAGAATGGAACAAAATAATTCAAACAAATGGAAAGAATCAGAGACAAAGGCAGAAAATGCAGCAACTGGCATTCCTTTCCAATTGTTGATACTATAATATTTTGCCAGTGCTCTTGTAATAGTATAATTGTTTTCAAAAACGGCATACTAAGGGTACTGTAGATAAACCACAAATGTGCCTCCAGTGTCTATAAAATCCTAAACAGACTGTAGAAGAGGGTCTTTGGGAATGATAATGATTTAGGCTTGTTATCTTAGAGACGTCTGCTATGCAAGAAGCAAATGAAAAGCAAGTGGACACAACAGTCTGTTTTAAAAGAATATGTACTATATATCCACATAGACTGAAGCTGAAGAATTAATTTCACCAGACAGAATATTGTGGAGGGTTTATGTGGTTAAAAGCACCAAGGGCTTTGTTGCCATTTATATTTTATTTTCCTATAGTACTTTATGAATATAGGAAAATGAAGACAGAAGGAAAGAATCAGGCAAGTTGCTAACTTGCTCCCCCACATACATACTTTGTGATAACAGAGAGTCATTAGATTCTAATTACCAAATGAAGTGGAAGGTCCTTTTTCGCTGAAAACTCTTTATTTATAGCAACAGTGCAATCTACTGAGGAAGAGAGATAGATCGGAGAGGTGAGAGCTAGCCCACAAATCGTTGCCCTTGTTTTATGGCTATTTACAAGAAACTGCATAGAATTATAGTGGTTTGCATTCAAGCATCGTTAAAGTGGAAGAAAAATGCCTCGTAGGGGTTAACTTCTTATGCCTGCACTGCAGCCTATTTCTGTCAACACTGGACTTGGGAAACAAACATTTATGCTTTGTGAAATGGAAGTGTATTTTTGAAGACTAGCCGTCAGATATTTTTTGCCCTTCACACTTTCAAATGCTTAGCCTTTTTTCTAAGTTGACTGCAAAGAGCATCAGTTTGCCAGACTAAAAGAGAGATGGTGGGGGATTTGGGGTGGGGGGAGGAAGGGGCAGAAAGTAAGCGAGAAAAAGAATGGGTAAGGGCTGGGTTGTCTTGACAAGTGCCCATGGCATCACCATCAAATATATGAGTTTCAAGTAGAAGATGGCAGGAGGGGTTGGCACAGCACATGCTTCCTTCCAGCCTATGACCTCTGGCTACCTGATTCTTGAGAAGCTTTTCAATCCTTCCAAATGATGTTGTTCCAAACTGTCATCTGGTTTACTCGGAGCACACTGTCTCGCAAATAAACATGCTATTTAACTGCAGGTCAAGGTACAGAGCCATTCTGCTAGCAAAATGCCTAAGATACATTAAATGGCACTGACATGAAGAGAGAGATGAAGAGGGATCAAAGTTGTCAGCAGCATGCATGGAATTGGTCTGCACTGGGGGAAAAATGCACCATTGTGCATTGAAATGTATTTTTTAAAAGCCATAATATAGTTGAACATTTAAAATTATGACTTGTCAAATGCTAGGGATTAAGGGACCGGGTATGATAAAATTCAAAGTTCAGGGCAACACCAGCAAGGCACTATCTTCCAGATTTGGGGAGAGCTCAGGGCTGTGTGGCTGGAAAATGTTAAGTGGTTAATGGGAAATGGGTGGTATTCTTTCACAGAGTACAGCATATTTAAACGAACCCTTACATTGGTTTATTCTGCAGTACTTTTTCTTTGTGTAGAAGTTTTTTTAAAAATATTTTATGATACCAAATTGTTCTGGTTGTTGTTTGTTTTTCTAAACAACAAAAATATTTTAGGTTTCATTTTATGAATTAAAACACAGATATAAAATTAAGCTTTAAAAGCTTTAGTATTTTTAAAAGGCTCTCTTCTATTACCCACCACCAAGATTAAAGGTTTACAATGAATGGCTAGTAATAAAATATGATTTTACTAATAGTACTTAAAGAACATGGCATACAATCCCACAATTCTATCTCCTGCATTTTATTTTCTGGAGTATATAAAAAAGAAAGAAACTGCACATGTGCACACCTGTATATTTTCTATTGGCATAAACAAAAGGTTTCATTCACAATTAGGGGCAACATATTTCCTGCAGGAGGAACAAGCTGTCCTGGGAAATTGTGTAGAAATATGAAAATCTGAAGAAATGAGAAACTGTTTACCCATTTTTTAAAGTCTGACCAAATATCCCTTCATAAAGGTAGCATTGGAGGGTTCTTTTTAATGTTTTAATGCCTGTTAGCTACTGTAATTGCTAGCAAAGCCCACTGTAATTTAAAATAAAAAAGTAAAAAGTAAAATGCACAAATTAGCATATAAATAAAAAGCAGGAAAGTGGAAGCTTTGGGAGGAATATAAAGGAAAATGATTGAAATTGAAACCTCTTTAGAGATTTTATTGCTTTTTTATTTATTTATTTGCTTAATTAAATGCCCCTGAAGTGTGGTGAAACATGGTTATAGTTAAAAAGCAACTGTTACTTTGTAAATCGTAGGGACAAAGGGCTCTCCTGACTTTAAAGTTTCCATGCACGTAAATGTCAATACACTGCCTTCTCCATCATCAGCACTAAATTCACATTGATGCCTCTTTTCTTCTCTGTATTGATCCTTCCATGAGAACGTAGATTTGTATCTGTTAATTAATGCGTCCTGAAACAGCGTTTGTATTAATCAGGCAGATAAGAAAAATTGGATGCCTGCACCCTCATGACAACCGTAAAAGTGCTGGCCCTGATAAAAATCATGGACGGACCTCAATAAAAAAGTTCCTCCTTCCACTCAATAAACTAATCATCCCTGCTTTTAATTATGCGGCAGAAAGATGTGTGGAGATTGGAGAATGTGTAAATCTATTTACTAACAGCAGTGTCTGGGAGGGAGAATGGGCCTGTCACAGGACACTGCTGCAGGCAACGTTCTCTGTCCATCTGCTTCTTGAGAGAGAGGCTGGAGCTAATTGCAAATAGGCCTTCCATTTTAAGACCCTTTCAAATTATTATTTCTGTTTCATTTCATTCCATTTCCCATAAGAAGCGTGGGGCTAGCCCCTTGTCATTTTTCAAAGAGGTTGGCTTTGATGTGGTTGATCTTCTCTTGGGGACATGACACATGTCCTTTTTAAAATAAAGAACAGTATACAGTATGGAAAATGTAAATAAGAATTAAGAAATAAGGAAAAGGAATGGAGAAAGTGTCTCGATAAAGTCCATCACTTTTAAAGCATGTCTTCTGGCCTGGAGAGAGTTTTGATTTCTTTTAATCGGAATACATTTGGTTCCAAATTGTGCAGCAGGCTAATCTAAACTGATGTCTAATTCTTGTGCCTTATGTTTTCACCACGGTGTTTGGCAAGATTCTGTGTGTTTTAAGATAAATGAGCAGCAACAACCAAGGTCTGCTCTTTCTATAGGATCCCTGTCAAGGCACAAGTGAGCAGCTCCATAAGTCGCACACAGAGAGCTTTAGACATGTCTTAAGACCCACCCCACCCCCTTAAGAAAAGCTTGACTAATCCCTTTTGATGATTTTATTAACTCCTGGGTGGTTGCAGGTGCCAACTGGCAAAGTACAATATTTCATGGATAGGCCAGGAAATCTCTCCTTCACTGGGACCTCCTGTGATAGGAGCTTTGTCAGGCAGAGATAATAAATTAACAGCTACTGTAAATAGGTGCCTGAAAAAGTATGGCTATAAAGAGGTTTGCCCTTAGTGATCCTATTAAAAAGGAAAGGAGAGATAGTGAAACAAAAGCAAAAACCTAAATTCATTATATATACTCTCTCTCTCTCTCTCTCTCTCTCTCTCTCTCTCTCTCTCTCTCTCTGATGGTGTGATTACTATTCACTTGGCACTTTAATGTGCCATTCTGTTATTTGAGCAGTGTGGTGGAGGCAGAAGCTATTATAGAAGTAATTAGCGTCTTTTCTGTAAAGGGTAGGTCTTACCGAGGTTGAAGTTCAAAAAGCACTTTGCTTGGTTGTTGTGATCATCAATTCTATTAAGGTATCAAATTACCTCTCCTTTAAAATGATTTTCCCATTTTTGTTTAAAACACACCCTTGAAATCTTTAAAATATGTTATGGAGGCTATGCAGAAGTAACTGAATTCAGTGAGGCTTACTCTGTGGTAACAGCGTAGATAAAGATTACAGGCTGTCATACCTTTTATTCTTTCTCTTACCAACCATGAGAATTATTCCTAAAATGTTTCCAGATTTGATATAGGCCATATTAGATACTACTGAATCTGGGTAACAAGTGTTGACAATTTATTTGAGGAAATGTATTTTTAAATATTGAATAAAATACAACAGGCTTCTCTACCTAAAATTACAATACGCTCAAAGATATACTGAATTGTTTTTATCTGAAGTGCTTTTGTTTTAACTATTTTATGTCTGCTGAGATGAGAGATCCGAGAGGGCAGAATCTGTAAATACACATTGCTAACTTACATAATAAAAACAAGCACAAGGGTAAAGTTATAATGCAGAATTATGAGGGCCCAGGACAATTTTAATTATGTTTCTGTGTACTTTCCTTCCCGGTTTAGGATTTTCCACTTTATCGCTTGCTGACCAGATGAGCCTTCTGCAGAGTGCTTGGATGGAGATTTTAATTCTGGGCGTAGTGTACCGATCACTTTCCTTTGAGGATGAGCTTGTCTATGCTGAAGACTATATTATGGATGAAGAACAGTCTAAATTAGCAGGCCTTCTTGACCTCAACAATGCCATCCTGCAACTGGTAAAAAAATACAAGAGCATGAAGCTGGAGAAAGAAGAATTTGTCACCCTCAAAGCTATCGCGCTTGCTAATTCAGGTTGGCAGATTGGCATGATGGCTCATGTCATTTTTCCCCTTCCTCTAATACCTTTTGCATGACAGTTTCTAAATACAATTGCCTAAGAATAAGAAATTCTTAAATCATACTACTGCAGAATAGTGCTGAATGGCTAGAAACAAGGTAGTTCAAATTAAGGGAAGATATGTGATCAGAAATATTTGTTATGCTGAGTTTCCAATTTGGTTAAAAGATGCCGTAAAATTCAGGCAGTATTAACAGCAAAGATGCTTTTCAATAAACATAAATGTCATTCTGCTTAAATCCATTTCATAATCCAGATAAGTCTAATCAGTCTGCTAAAACCCAATAGTATGTAAGGGCCCATGACTAAATGCAATATATGATCTACTTCAATCTAGCTACTAAACATCGTGAACTCAATACCGAAGGTGAACTCTGGTTTTATTAGGGAAGGGAGCAAGTCATTTTTTTTAACCTTGTAAAAACTGTACAAATTTGACTGTTATGCTAGTTGGTTAAACGCCTAATGTAACTTGTTCAGAAGGGGGCTAAGAATTCAAGAAAGGATTCTTCTCTGCATTTGAACTTAGAAGTGCTGAAGCAGTGAGCCAGTGTTTGATAAGTGAAAAATCGTTGGTTCTTTGTTGTTTTTTCTTTTGTGCCTCTCTAACACTTTATTGTGGTCTTAAGTCCCTCTTAGCATTTGCATAAAGTTCATGATAGATCCCTCTTTAATGACGTGCCGATCATTAGATACCTGTGTGTCGATAACATGCTCTGATGCTATGTACCATTGACAGTCACACCGTGCTCCTCCATCTGCTTTTGTTTTGACCCTATCTTTGAACTTTATCTTGGTTGCTGGCCAGTAGTTTTCCCTTTAATTACAAGAAGGAAACTGTCAATAAAATCTGTTAAATGGGATGCAATGAGTGGCTTGAATGGGCGGATGGCTATTTGTTCAAATTCTGCAGCTTTCAAGGTATTGACAGTTTGTTTTCTGGGGCCATATGTGACGATCAATCTCAGGCTGGGCTCAGCCGCGCTGAAAAATGAAAAACCAGATTGCTTTTGCTTACTTGTGGATGACGACTTGTGATTTGGTGCGGTCCTAGTGAGATGATGCCTTCTGCCCAAATTGTCCCCCCGAGAGCCAGGATGCGTGACTGTTTTTAGAAATAATTTTTAATTGATTTTGTAATTAACAGTTCATCTACAATATTGACACATGAATCTTCAGATTGATAGGAGGAAAATTGTTTTCAACAATGAAGTTGTACTTTCCGATTTGTCTTCATAATGGGATCTAGCATCTTGAATTTAAATTAGAGTTTAATTGAAAAACAAACAAAAATGAAGAATAAAAAATATCCATAAGAAATATAAATGCCTTAATCAATTGATATAGGTGTAAGCAGCTGTTGTCATAATGTACTTTCTAGTGGTCATCCCAGATTCTCATTTTATTTGGATATGTGTTCCCAAAATTAAAGTTATAAAATGTTATGAGGTGTTCATATAATTGTCATGATCCATTATGTTTACTGATAAAGTAGATAATCAGAAACCATGCACAATTTGTATAAAAATACACATTTTAAAACATTTTAATGTTTAATGACAGCAAACCTTCACACATTTGGAAATGACTGAGACAGTATTTTACTCTGACCTGCAGAGATTTAAAATGACATTCACTGAAATCATCAGCTTAGCATAAACATCTGGCTTGATTCAATAATAATTAATGCTCTTTTGTGCTCTAAATCAGTGAACTGATTTAACAGTAACCTTTCAGTAGCCTTCCCTTCCTCTGTATTGTACCCATGCGTAAACAGATACAACAAGATAAAGTGAACAAAACAGCACTGGTATTATAGCCCCAATTCATAGGAATTTGAAATAAAAGGACTTAAAAGAGAACTAAGGGATGTCTGAAAAGCCAAAATGTACCTCTGATTCAGACTATAACGAGATCCAGATCCAGATCCTGAAGCCAAATTTTCAACTCTTGAATTGAGAGGGAACCTAAGGTATCCAAGAGACTAGCTGCATTGAACAGAATATTGGAAGTCCTGGATTCAGGCAAAAATAAAATAAAATAAATTCTTGTTGCTTTTTCGTCTGTCCTTCAAAAATAGGAATTCCTATTATATTTCTGAGACTCAGAAATAAACATTTTACCTCATATCATCTCCAATTAATCTTATTTTGATAAAAGGGAACATATTAGCAAAAACCATCACCTGAACACACTCTGATACTCTTAATATATCATTGGTAATAATCATAATTGATGGTTTCATATAACCTAAAACAACTTGGTGTGTTCTCTGGTTCATATGTTGGATTTCTAATTAGGTACTTAAAATGCTGAATGGAAAAAGAAATTCCAATGGATCAGTGAGTGCTCTGCTTACTCACAGAAAGAGAGGGTGGGGGGAAAACACACCTCTGAATATTTTCTAAAGCATGTATGCAGCAATTACTTCAGGCAGGTGAACTCTGCTGTGTAATAAAAGGTGTTCTCTCTCTCGCAGTGCTTTTACTAAGTGTTCCCATGTATTGATTGGGAAATGCCAAATGGAAGACTGTAGGTTCACAGGTTTGTTTGCTTTTAATTATTTCATCAAGAAACAGACATTTGTACTTTTAGGCTGGAAGCTTTTTAAAAGACTTTGTGTCCCAATCAGCTAAACTGCCACGGAATTTCTAACTCTTTCTGCTCACCTAATCTATAGTATCTTTCCCTACTGACTGAACCCTTTAAAATGCTGCTACTTACTGGAACACTGAAAAGGGGAGGCTTAGGATTTCTATGAAAGCTATGTCTTGGAATGCTGTCAGGTTCCATGTAGATTTACCTGGAGTAAGGTGGTGGAAAAATAATCTAAAGAATCAATATTTGGAGAGGAGGGGATATGGAGATAGAGGTGAGCAGTATAATGCAAGCAAACATTGAAGAGGCTAACTGGACTAAGAAAATCTAAGCCAGTGGTCCCCAATCTTTCCAATTTGGCAGACCTGCAGAAGGTGGAGAGGGAATAGTTTTATGCGAGTGGCAGGCAAATGCACGCTTGCTATTCACACAAATGGAGCTTCGTGCACATGTGCTCGTCCGCCACTTCTGTGGCCCGGTTCCAGACCTTGGGCCTGGGCGTTGGGGACCCCTGATCAAACCAAGTTACCTCTCTCTAGAGTTAGGTTGTTTAGATTCAGGCTCTGGGAAAGTGCTTTTTTCTCCTTATGTTACTACTAGCATACACACACTGGAGACTTTTTAACAATCAGTTGCATTAGTTTTGCCCATCTATAGCAAGTAGCAGATTTTATTTATGACTCTTATGTGAGTAAACTATTCAATGACCACTTTAGCAGCCACTTCTTTCTTCAGCCACTTTGTTGAAATGCCTCTTCCTTCAGCCCTCTGAGACAAAGTTCAAAGGATAATTTTGATGGACCCTAGTGAGGGCTATTAACAATACTGGCCATAATAGAGTGTATAGTGCTCCTGTAAATCCATCATTGCTTGTCTTTAGTTGGGGACAAACCAATATTGAACAGCAGCTATAACAACCCTAACATTTCCTAATTGCCCAGCTCATGTCTAAATTTCTTCATGTCTAAACTCTTGGATCTTTGACTTATGATGATCACTCACAGTCTGCTACTGTTGCCTAATTTCATTGTCCTGTTTTCATTTGCAGTATTTACGCTGTCTCCTTTGCTTTTTAGTTTCTACTCTGAACTGCTACTGCGACTGTGATGTGACCATGATCTTTTGCTTGTCCTTGCTTCTGTGTTTGCTTGTATGATATCATTAGAATAGAACAGGATAGACCATTCCAACCAGAATAGGCAGCCAAGAAAAGGATCATTGCCAATTATACTGAACTTTCTGTGATCATTGAGATGCAGCCTGTTCACACATCTGTACATATATACTATTTTCTAATGTAAATAATTGTTTGGGGAATCAGTTCTGATTTAATTTCAAATGCCCCTGAAACCAACTCTTAATCCCAGCTTAATCTGAGATTAAGAAAGCTTGGATCTGGCTCTATTGAACAATTTCTATCTGAATTTTAGTCTTCCCTATTTGAAAAGATTTTAGAATTTAGGCAGTGGGAATACCAATTATATAGAAGCTTGAACTGGGCAAAGTATTACAACTCATTTTAGTTGGATTACTTGATTATGGATAGAAACAGCATTGGTCTCTATAGTGGATATATGAGGGGAACTGGTTAATCCTATTAGAACTGTCAGTGATATCAACTATGGCATCCTTCTAGAATTCCTGTGAGGGATGGGAGGTTCCATTTTTTAATTTTGAGCAGGTGATTATACTTGGTGATCAGAGAGGAAAAACATTCAAATCCTTGGCAACTCCATCTATGTGGTGTCACAGAACACAATCTCTCCCCAACCCCCACCCCATATCCTTTAGCATCTAAACCAGAGGCCCCCAATCTTTTAGGCACCAGGGACTGGTTCTGTGGAGAGAGGTTTTTCCACAGACCGGAGGAGGCGTGGTTTCATGTGCTGCCTGCATCCCATGGATGAGGCTTGTTTGTGTGGCCCAGTTTCTGGCATGCCATGGTCCAGTGTCGGTCCATGGACTGGGGGTTGGGGGCCTCTGATCTAAACCATTACAACAGTGCTTTGGTATCTGCACTACTTATTCATTTCTGGGCCCAACTCAGTAAAGTGGTAATAAAGTGGACTGATAAAGCTCTAAATGGCTTAAGTCCTGGACATGTTGCTGATTGTCTTCTCCATAGAATCTTCTACCCTATACATTCAACTCAGGGAGGTATTCTCTGGATTCCCCTCGCATGGTATGGCTTAAAGCTTAAATAAGGCAGATCTCCCCTACATCTTCTGTGTGGAATGTGACAAGGAGTTTCATAAAACACTTTAAGTTTCTGAAGCATTCTAGGGGCTGAAGTGGGCTGGATGATGATGCCAAATGGATGGGTCCTGCAGATGGACAGAGTACCTTAACCACCATTCCATGGTGGCTATTTTTGAACTATTGTTATCATAACACACAGCCAATATAATAAAGTATTTGGGGGGGAATGCCTTATCCCATTTGATGTCTCTTGTAAGATCAGATGATCCCAGAATTGTATTTTTCAGAGTAGCCAGTTATTGTTTCACTGTCTCTGTTGTATCCAAAAACTGATATTCAGCAATAAATTGATATACTGTAAAGACTCAATATTGTTATCATGACTTGGTCACTGAATCGTTTTTTTAATCCCATGATCACATTTACAAGCAAATTCCATGAATTAATTACTTTTTACATGAAGCTCTTAAGAGATTCATAGAATTAGAAGTGGGATGTTATTTAGGCTATCAAATTCATTTGCAAATTTAATAAACATTCATTCTACCTTTTCCACCTCCAGGTCAAACATATTTATTAATTATCCACATTAGGTGAAAATTGATATGTGGCCATCTGAAATCCTTCTGTGTCAGTTTTTCCTACACACTTAGTCTTTTTATTTAATCTCAGTGGCCATCATTTTACCCTTAGGTTGAAAGTTAATTGCCATTTTGCTGCCTGTTCACCAAGTCTAGATATTACTTTGTGTAAGCTTTTCTGATTTCTAATCCATCCTGAGTATTTTGATGCCATCAGCAAACTTAGCTACTTCACCATTGACCTCCTAACTCAAGATCATTTATGAAGACGTTAAATAGCATTCCCTCTATTGTAAGAAATAGTGATTTATTCCCTGCTTCCCAGGAGTTTCTGATATATAACAAGGCTTATCCTAATTGTAGTCTTTTACTTTACTGTTCTGGGTGAGAACTTTTAACATTAAATTGTTAAATATCATTTTAAATTTTAAAAGTAATGGTTACAGATTAATTATTAAATGTACAGAATCCCCATAAGACACTATTATGTGTAACAATTTAATTTTTAATTCCTTAATTCTGTTAGAAACCTCTAATGAAGTAATTTTGATCATATAATTTTTAATAGTACCTCCAATATGGCCACAAGGGATACGGGTTTTAGATCTAGGTTACATAGATATTTTTAAGATCACTTGTTTGCAGCTTCCTATGCCCTGCCTAAGTGTTAAATGAATAGAACATAAAATAATAGAGTTGGACGGGACCTCAGAGGTCTTCTAGTCCAACCCCCTGCTTGAGCAGGAGATCCTATATCATTTCAGACAAATGATTGTCCAGTCTCTTTTTGAAAGCCTTCAGTGATGCAGCACCCACAACTTCTCAAGGCAAGTTTCCATATAGTATTCCCAAGACAATAGACCCTCCAGGCATGATTGACTGCAACTGCTAGATTTCCCAGCCAACATGGAAACTGCAGTTACAGTTTATGGGAAATGTACTTGTGGAAAACCATTCTACTGTTCTGAGCTTTCTGCATTTCTATGAAATACTTTTCTGAAAGTATTCCTGCTGATTTCAAAGTTATATCTTAAGTTATATAAACATGGTATATTAAAAGGCAATAATCATATGATTGTAACTATAGCAAAGATCTACTTTTTTTCAGAAGATGAATATGGTAATATGTAGTTTATTTAATTTGCATATGTAAAAGAGCTCAGCAAATGGTAGTTAAATCCATGTCAGTTATAGCCTTTTGAATGTGGGGTTATACAACTCAAGTTATAGAAAAGAGCTCTGGCATTGTAATCCTCCTTTCTGGCATGATAAATATAACTCTTGTTTGTTTTACAGACTCTATGCACATAGAAGATGTTGAAGCTGTCCAGAAACTTCAAGATGTCTTACATGAGGCTCTGCAGGATTATGAAGCCGGGCAGCACATGGAAGACCCACGCCGCGCTGGCAAGATGCTGATGACTCTGCCATTACTCAGGCAAACCTCCACCAAGGCTGTGCAGCATTTCTATAATATTAAATTGGAAGGCAAAGTCCCCATGCACAAACTATTTTTGGAAATGCTGGAGGCAAAGGTCTGACCTCAACATCCTGGGCCCTTTCAGTTGGCTATGCTGAAACCGTAACAAGAGGGACAACCGAGGGGAAAACTGTGGCAAAGAACCTTTAGCATTACTTTAAGGCAATGAAACTGACTGCACTGATCATTAAGCAGCAAGAATGAGTAGCAGCATCTCTTTTTAGTCTTGATCTTATTTGATGAGGTTCTCCTTCATTTCTCTCTTTTAATGTTATTAGTTCTCATTTGTTTGTAATTTTGCCCCTTTTGCTGCTGAAAAATTTATATATATATACTGTATGTATATATATATATGTATTCATATATATATATTTCATATATATATATATATATATATATGAAATATATATATATATATATATGTATTCATATATATATATTTCATATATATATATGAAATATATATTATACATATACACACACACATATATATAAAATATATATCGTATATGTATATGTATATTATGTATATGTATATGTATATGTATAATGCCAGAGGACTTCTTGGGAAGTCTAATGACAGAGGAATCAAAAACGAAGCATCGTAACTAGCAGTACGGTACAGTACAACACGGTGAACTGACTGAATGCAGTATTACGTTTCACAAGAGGAGCCGCTAATTAGACAACTTCGACGGCAACATCTTGGCTGCTCCTTATCATTGCATTTCCATCTAGATCAGTTGCAGCCATTTGATTCCTTCATTGTTTTTTCAAGTCTTCCAGCTATTTCTTAGGTTAGCTACAATATAACTTTTTCAGGGAATAGTTTGAGCTTTATTCATTCATGCAATACTAAAGAAAAGAAAGGTAAATACTGCTTTTTTGTGTGCTGGCTTGAACAATTATGAACATTTAATTAAGGACAAATGAATCCTGCAGGAAGATTTTTTTTAAGAAAATGTTTTAGTTCTTACTAATGGAAGATTTTTTTTCTACCAGCTTTACCACGTTTCAGCCATTTCTTAATGTGGGGATTTATCTTACACAAGCAATAGTTGAAGGAAAGGTGCATATTATCACGGATGCAATTTATGTTGTGTGCCAGTTTGGTCTAGGACATCCCATTTCTTTGCATGAGCTCCAGTTTATATGTAACCAACTGAAACCAACAAATCGGATTACACCTACATTTCCAGATCGTTTATATGTGTCATGTCAAATAGGAATCTAAAAAAGGAGTTAGTAAGTGCTTCTGTATGGCCAAGCATAAATATGACATGAGATTCTGTGTTACTCTATAAGGTGGCCTATTATTTACAAAACTGGGACTTTTGCATAAAGTCCACCCTACTCTGTCTAGCAATAAGGAAAGAAAATCAGAATATCAGAGTAGTCAGCCTCTGATCAACCTCTAGAACTTAGCACTTGTACACATTATTTATCAATTTATAAAACTTTATATTTTATATAACTGTAGAAATGCCATTTTTAAACAAATAGCCTAACTGGTATACCTACTTTTTCAGCCATTATTGTCAGGACATGAAAGCTGGTCAATTTCAAGACTGTTAAGAGGTGTAATCTAATATTTAAATTAATTAGATGCCCCCACCCACCCATCCAAAGTACAGTCACTAAAAAACCTGGGAACAGGAATCTCCTTCCAATGCTATGCCAATGCACCAGTGTTAGTAGCTGCTCCCTGTGCTATGTGAACAACCTTATTCTATGTACACAAATGTAATTAAATTGTATTCCTAACCAACAAAAGAAAAGTAGTTCAGCTTCTCAATGTTTCATGTTTGCTGTGCTTTTTGGAACTTTTTAGGTTGCATTCAAGGACTGTTGTCTTGTTCTTGTGGTGTTTGGATTCTTGTGGCGTGTGCTTATAGACACAGGGTAGAATTAGAGACAATATTGGATGTAAATTTCCTCAGGAGACTACAGTAGTATATTCTATTCCTTCTGGTAATTAAGGTTCTTCATAGTAATAATTAAGAAACTGAAAAACAAAATCCAACCAAGTACTCATTACGGACAAATGTCACATTGAAATATTTTCAAAACAAGGGATAATTTCTCTAACAGTTTAATATAGAATATGTATAGCTTAGAAATAAACTTTGAATATTGCAAAATTATAGGTAAGTCTAATTTTTAAATGCTGTAAATATAGCTTTCATCTCTCCCTTGTTATTAACTTGCTCTGTGTTGTTGCTAAGTCTTTTTTTTTCCTAAATGCAGATACGTTTCCAAAAGTATCGCTACTTGTGTGCTTTAAACAAAATGCTGCAGTTAATACTGCAGCAACCTTGTGCTAGAAAAACTGTGTATCTTTCATTAGCTGTATGGGAATTTTCTTGTAGATTGTGTTTTTCTCAGTAGAGAAGTGACTGTTATGTGATCCTAGATAAATTGTCATTAGCGGTTCATTCAGTTGGCCAAATATCTTGAAATTCACAGTATGATAGGAGTTTGGAAATTGGAAATCCCTTTTGAAAAATGGTAAAATCTTACAACTCCTGGGGGGAGGGGCAAGAAACAATGTGATTCTATAAAATTATTTATATATATATGTAAGAGTTAAGAATAATTATTTTCCAGAAAAATTGTGCAGGGTTTAAGTTGCAAGTATTACCTACATTATATATGTATATATAAATATCTAATATAAATATTGTTTTCACTGGATCACATTGAGGAACTTGGGTTGCAGGGTTAATATCCCGTCATTGTATTTAGAAAGAAGGACAAATCTACAAAGACTTAAGAGGAAATGAGATATGTTAAAGGAACACAGTGCAATTTTTTATTTGATTTTTTTTCTAATAATTTTTAGAGCTGCAATGAACAAATATGTCGTGGCTGTGCAAATGTTAAATGAAACATAGATACACTGCACAGGCATTAGAATAACAGTCATCTTAAACCTTGCTGAAATAAACATCCACAACCACTTATTTAAAGTGAAGAACTGGGGAAGAATTTCAAGAGGTGTATCTTTTAGTGTAACATGTTTCCTTTCAGGGCATAAAATCCATAGAGCATTTCTCCTGCACAAAGCAATTGAAATGAAAGGGTGCGGTGGTATAAAGCCTCTCTCATCCAGTTTGTTTTGTCCATTCAGTTCAATGTGCAGCAGACATTCCAAATGGATTGTAGCCTGGGCTACTGTTTTCTTTTTCTTTCTCTCTTATTTAAAGCAATATGATTGTGTGACTCCTGAAAGTTGCACATTTGTTTCAATCAAATCAGATTGTTGTATTTATTCCACTATTTTGCATTTAAATGCTAACATAAAAAAATATAAAAAAAAATTAAAACTGCTATTTTTCTTATAGAAGAGAAAATGGGTGTTGGTAATTGTATTTTAATTATTTAAACGTCTCTGTTTACCTGCCTAGGAAAACACTTTATGGCAGTCTTATTGTGCAAAGATCTCAAATGAAGGGGAAACCGAATTAAGCTGCTTATTATAATCCAGGAGTTGCATAATAACCAGTAGTAAAAACACAAATGAAAAAAAAATCATCTTTAAAGCTGTAGATGGGCTTCACATCTGTAAAGCAATCAACTGTATATTTTTGTGATGTGTATCATAATGTGTGCTCCAAACAATGTCCATTTGTGTAAATGTATTTATTTTATATTGTATATATTGTTAAATGCAAAAAGGAGATAATGGTTCTGTAACTCCAATCAGTTCAGATGTGTAACTCAAATTATTATGCCTTTCAGGATGATGGTAGAGCAATATTAAACAAGCTTCCACTTTTAATTGCTTTTAATTTTTTGTGTTGTGGTTTTTGTTTTCTTTTGTTTGTTTTCTTTTTTTATATATATGAAGAAATGAAATCAGTAAGCCCCACCTTTAGAAAAGTGGTAAACTGTGCACCCCTAAGCTAATGTAGCCCTATGCTGTATAAGGACTTGCCAAAATGAATTTTGCTGTGGTATAGTCATTTTGCATAACCTTAAATATTCCAATTGTCTTTTGCCACAAAATTCATTCTGACAACTTGCTTAATCTTAAAACATCTCCACATTAAACCACATTACCAAAAATCAATGTCTTCCTATCAATATCATAGAAGTTAAGCTTTTCACAATTTTAAGATTCTATTACCATCTACAATTTTGTCAAGAGCTGAATCCATTCAATTCATAAAGGTATTATAAGACTGCTTATTAGTTTGAACACAGCTATTTAGGTGACTATTAACTATAATCACTAGTACTTCTCCAGGATCAGAAAAATAGTTTAAAATTAAAGTTATCGGGATAGAAAATGGCATAGTTGATCAGAAAGTTTGATATTTTTTTTTCAACAGAGTCACATCATCTGTTTATGAAAAGTTCTACTGGAACCATCCTACTATTTTGGAGGTTTGAGCCCTGTTCTGTTAATATGGCATCACTGCCTCTATTCAACACCTTTCTCATGTTCAGTGATATTTATTTTCTAGACACTTAGTATGTTTCTAAGGACAATCGCCTCCCCCTGGGTCCTCACCCTCTCACACTATTGAGATTTGTTACCGATCATAATTAGCTCATGATATTGATATATTCATTTAAATTTTATACTACATATAATTCTCCCTTATATAATAAAGTAGAAAAGTTGCTGCTGTGCTTCATCTTTAGTAGTAGTTGGACTTATGTGGATGTAATATTTCATTAAGTTTAACATAATTAACTGGCAGAGTAAGAAAATTATATCTTTCATGTAACTGTACTAACAAGAAGCTACTGCAGCGCTCTCTATTCATATTCAGTTCTTCATTTGTTTTCAAGACAAAACATAATTATTATGTATGCAGTATAAAATAATTGTGAAACAAGACTGAGTTAAATTATCAATATATAAATCAAAGAGATGGCATAATAAAATCCATGTAGTTTTTTTGTTTTTAAATATTATCTAGATAAATAATGTCACTTTTAATTTCCAGGTGCTGCTGAATTAAATGAAATGGCATACATTCACAGTTGCTGGCACTTTTCCACTTTTAATGAGCATTTCTATATAATATTTTGTTAAAGGTTAACAATATT